CCGTTTACACTGACGGCTTTATGAAGTGCCACGGGCCAAATCCGCCCTCTTCATATCATAAACAACAATAACATTTGCCGGTCCACGATCCTAGACTTTAGGAAATCTTGATGTGGAAATTGAGACATCAACATCAACTTTTCTCAAAAATTTAATTAAAGCTTTAAAAAAAGTAAGAGTTGATTTTATTTTTAATGAGAGAATTGGTTCACAAGTTAATGGAAAAAACAACAGTAAAGAATGAAAGTTTGCAATTCGAAATATTAAAAAAAAACATATTTTGGTTATATATTGTAAATTTAACTAGGTTTTACCGCTAAAACGTTCAAATTCAGATTCAATTTTCAGGACTGGAATCATCATGTGAATAATGTAGCACGTTTAGTTCATTTTTAAGGCTATAGTAAACCTATTACAGTTCGTGGTCCGATTGACCAATTAACATTTTTCGATTAATTAATATTTATGAAAGGTATCGGTTAAGATAAAAAAGTCAGCGTCACGAGCGGGATTCGAACCCACGACCTTCGGCTAAATACGCCACTGCTCTACCACTTGAGCCATCGTGACTTCGATCCTGGCAAAAAGGTGGGAAAATTCGAGAGGTGAGGTTGAGATGGGAAGTTAGTGTCCGAGCGGATCGAAGTCGCGATAGCTCAAGTGGTAGAGCAGCGGCGTATTTAGCTGAAGGTCGTAGGTTCGAATCCCGCTCGTGACGCTGACTTTTTTTATCTCAACTAAAAAGCTAAAAATAGCGCTACAGTAAGACAATAAAGGAATTATCAGGGATTTAAGAAAATCTCTAGTTTTCTGTGCACTGCAAAAGCTAAAGCCGGGAACACACCCGATGCAACGTTATGCGACGCTACCCGATGCTACCCGACGCCTTGCCATGTTTTGGTTGGGTGTGCACATCTGTGCGACGTCATGCGCGCTCCACGTGCAGTCACACAGCGTGAATCACAAATCAGTATCACAATCTTAATGCACACAACCATGTAATAAATTGTTAGTTAAATTTAATTGTTTTAAATAAAGTTATTCCGGTGTTCTGATAAATTTTCTTCCTAAACATCGTATTTAAATAATTTTTATAAAAACTCATGAATTTTTGATCTCTTTTAATTTGGTTTACATTAAAATAACATGTAATTAATATAACGACAAAATTACATGTACTTAGTTTGAAATAAACTACAAAAAATATGAGTATTCTGAAGCTGCCGACGAAAATAGTCTAATTTTATGAGCAAGACAATGAAATAAATCGTTAGTTAAATTTTATGAGTCAAACTGTGCAATGAATTATTAGTTCAATTCAATATATCAAAAAATTGTATTCCCGTGTTTTGATCAATTTTCTACAAAACCATTTAAAAAAATTTTTAAATAAAAACTAACGAATTTTTGATCTCGGTTAATTTGGTTTAGGTTAAAATAAGTTGTAATTAATATAACGACAATAATACATATAGTTTGAAATAAAAATATGAGTGTCCGGTTCTTTTGTCTTCGACTGTACTCGATGCTACTCGATGAAAATCTGGACAGTGGGGATGGCGTAGCGTAGAGTAGGGTAGCGTTGCGTGGCATCGGGCGGATGTTCACGGGGGTAATACAGTCTTATGGAAAAATGGACTTTGGATTTGCGTCGGGTAGCATCGGGTAACTGTGTTCCCTGTTTAAGGCGTCGAAGAGAATGGAGTTTTGAGTAGTCTTTTTTAATAATAGAGCCCATATGGTCATGCCACGTAAGCTTAGAGTTAAAAATAGCACCGAGATTTTTGACTTTAGGACAAAAATTAATAGGGGAGACGTTGATATGAGAAGGTGACAGGCAATCTGTAGTAATGGGTTTATTGGAAATTAATATGCACTGGGATTTGTTAGGGTTTAACAGAAAGCGTTATTTGTTGACCTTGGGTGAGGGAATTGAGTCACAGTTGAGCAGAGAGATACCTTCAGAGATGTTGCTTGTAGGATATTGAATGTAAAGCTAAGGTCGTCAGCATAAAGCTGAAATTAGGAGAAATTAACGACTAATGGAAGATCATTTAGAAACTTGGAAAAGAGTAAAGGTCCAAGAATAGAGCCTTCGAGTACACCAGCTAAAATTGAGAGGGAAGAGGATCTGTTGTTGTCAAACAGATAGGAGATGAGATCAGTAGCAGAAGAAGAAAAATCAAAAAGGTGCCTCAGTTTCCAAATAACGAATTATGATTTACGGAGCCGAATACATTGGGAAAAACAAGTAGGACAATAATAATACACTTATTAACAACAATGCCTCGGCAAAAATCTTTTTGAGAACGGCTATGAAATTTTCGGTAGCCAGGTCGAAAAGGGGATATAATGGCATGGGAGTCAATAAATAAAGATATTTGTTTCAATAAAATCTTCTCAAATGCTTTAGATAATGATGGGAGTATACTAATAGGTCGGTAGTCACTAGTTGGGTTTAGGTTTCTTGGGCAAAGCAACGATTAAGGCTTCCTTCCAATCGGAAGGAAAACAGGACGAAGTGTAAGAGATGTTCAAAATGTAGGACATTTCTGAATCAGTGCGGATCCGCTCGAGAGTTGATCAAACTCACTTTACGAGTGATGAACCGCTTTGAAAAAAAATTAGCAGTAGTTCTGCTATCCCCTTCACTACTATACCAACTCTTTAGCAATCGGTGCCTAATTTGGAAGTTTGCCTTTACCATCTCTCAGTAACTTGACAAGTGACTTCCTTCCGTTCGACCATCCAACCCTGTCACAGCTCTTCCCTCCAAACGCTCTCAGCTCTGGACGCGCGACGAACTGTTAAACCTTTTGCGTTAATTTTTTTTATTGAAATTTATTATTGCCAATAATAAAAAAGCTTTAACAATTCGTTATTTCTTTCATATAGAAGAAATTACATCCACTTGTAATATAACTTGACTGGTATAAATTTTTATATATTAATCGAAGTTTCATGCTTTTTAACTTTATAATTGAGTTTTTGTCTAAAAAAGTAAAAATAATGTAAATTGCTAAGGAAAATAATACAAAAAAAGACGGACAGATAAAATTTGTTTTAATTTTGTTTTAGATTTTTAATTAATATTTCAATATCGCGTTTTTCCTCCAGTTGCCTTAATTACATCTGAACGTTGTAGCATACTTTCTACCAGTCTGGAAATGTTCCATTGCTGGAGGTTATCCCATTCTTCTCAAAGAGCCCTTTCAAGAGCGTGAATCAGAAAGTGATAGTCGTGCCCTTATTCGTCTTTTGAGGTTATCCCATAAATGTTCCACGAGGTTCAAGCCTGGAGAATGGGCTGGCCAGGCTAAGACTTTGATGTTATGCTGTTGAAGGTATGTTGTACTATGTGAGGGCCACGTGGACCGGTTAGGGATGGTTAGGGATGGTTATTATCGTGCATTAGAAATAAGATTGTTAATTAATTTCATAGAGGATAGTTAACGCATGATGTTCCTAAATTTCATCCACGTAGCGAGTGGCCGTCAGAGACTCTCCAAGAACAACAACCAATTCTGTGCGACTCTCCATTGAAATTCCCGTCCACGTCATCACTGAGCTACGTTGAAAAGGTCGGCTCTGGGAAAAATTACAGGATTTGTACTTTTCATTTCGCCTTCTCCTCGCTCTTTTATGCCCATCTGGAGATCGTAGAGCAAATCTACACTCATCGGTAAAACGTACAGCAGACCAATCTTCCAAAGACCAATAGCTGTGTTCTCGAGGAAATGCGAGCCGTGCAACTACGTGTGTTCTGGTCAATTCTGCTCCTCTTAAGGGGCGTAAAGCAATCAGTCCATATTGATTTAATCTTCTTCGAGCAGTGCGTTCAGAAATTTGGACACCTCGAACTTCCTGGAGCAATGGTGGACGTGCTCTTATTCAATGCTGATGAATCGCTTGATCGACAGTAAGGTGCCGGTTTCGCAAAATTCTCAAAGTCAAAAAACTGTCATCTTGTGGCTCTGTTGCTCTAGGGTGTCCACAACCGGGCCTTCCATGGTAGGACCCACTTTCTCGAAAACGTATAACCGCGTCTCGCAGAATTTCGTAGGGAACCCCAATGGCATAGCCACATGCATGATGAAACGTCCATCATCAGTATGTGCCACCACCACGCGCAACATCCAGAGCACTAAGTGGCATTTTTTAGTTTAAAAACTGAAATGAACAAAACAAAGATGAAATCTAAACAGTTTCAGTTTATTCATTCAGAATTCAAACGGACTGAATAAACATTTTAAATTCCGTAAAAAGTAAACATTGAAAAATCCTTTATCCATATTTTGGACAAAGGATTAAATATGTTTACCTCTAATTGATATTCCCAATTTAAAACATAGCATAAACTAATATTTACTGATAAAAACAATAAGACAAATTAAGGGCAGAATTTTCATTTATCGAGAAAATGAAAAAGAGTCAATTGGGTGGAATTTTTTGCCTGTCAATGTATAAACCCTGTAATTCAATCAACTTTATGTTGACCCTGGCGCTGGCCCCCCGATCCTTCAAAGGAACGGTTTTTCCCATCTCTAGAAGAAATTAGTGGCTTTCAATTGAAGCTGGAAATCGTGATATTTTTTCGATGTGATAATATGTATTTTGTGTAAATAGCTTAGCAGATAATCCTCGGACTCTTTTTTACTTGTATACAAATTTCCTGGCTTTTTTGCTCTAAGGAGCGAATTTTTTTTCACATTCTTAAACTAATTTTATCCCATTCTGATTCTGCGACGAAACAGTTTTTCGATCTGTTCTTTCAGTAGCCAAAAATCATAATACAAAGAGAGTTTTATTCCAATCAAACCATCTGAAAGAGTATGAAAAATTGAAAATCCACTGTCATTTATTGTAGATCTAATATGAAATCATTTCATATTAAGTATTTGATATATAGTTTTCACGAACACCATCGTCGAAAATTAATTTGTCAATGTTGCTGAATGTTACTATTGTCATATTTTTAAGGGTTGTCTTTCTATTTTCAGGTGAATGGCGTAATTCTTCACGGGAGATGTCATCTGAACGCATCGGCTATTATCAAAGGGCTCCCTGGCCCCCTTTTCAAAATTATTGCCTTGAGGTAAGTCCCGATAATTTTTAGATTTTTTTTTAAATTGCACGTAGAACGGGAGTAGCTCGTAAATTTTGTTAAAACTCTCCTCTGTTGGGAGAAAACCGGACCTTCAACCCTCAGCGAACCGGGGATAAACAATTTATATTTAACGACGCCTTCTTTGAAGGGCTTTATGTTTAAATTCAGCTATTTGGTTCGTAAAATGTAAATAGGATTACGCCACCTGAAAACGTTTTAACACCATTTGCTTTGCATATTAAAAGAAATTTTCTGCATAGTAATGAGCCCCGGTGAGGTGTCTAATGACTCTGGCTCGCCAACTGGATAAAAATTATTAGTAACCCCTGTAATAAATGCAAATAAGTCATTCTACGCGGGGGGCATGAACGAATTCCTGACGCGTTTGTTCTTTTTCAACTTTCTCGTTATTCGACCGCCTACATTGCTGGGCTCGGTCTTTTTGGTTTTACTCTTGTAGGCTAATATAAAATGTTGGTTCAGACTATCTTGGTTTTCCTCTCTAAAAGCATTTACCAACAAAAGTATTAAATAATAAATATAAAACTATTAATTATGTTTAGCTCGATAGACAATTAATAATTAGTAGTTAAGGGGCGTCGGTGGCCGCAACGGTTTAAGCCAGAAACACACTTACCCGATGATACGCCATGCGATGCTCCCCGATGCTACCCGACGCAAATTCAAAGTCCATTTTTCCATAAGACTGTATTACCCCCGTGAACGTCAGTTATGCATTCCAGAAGAGGGAAAACACTTTGAGCATTTCCTCTGAAAAGTTCCTCATTTGTTGTTAGGTGCTTGCTACAAAAAGAACCATTGCATTTTATTGTATGCAGCTTTCTGGTATGGTTTTTGTGAGATTACAGATGTGTCATTTTTATTTTACAAAGCGAGTTCTAATTGATACTACCCCCTTCAAATTGTGCTGTATGTATTGTATGTTTTGTTTCTATTCTGTATTTGACAACCTGAGCTACAAACGAGAGACTAGCATTCTAGAATATCAACGAAGTATATATTTGAAATCAGAGAGTCAGTAACCAGATCGAGACGCTCAAATGGCTGCAGTTTAAAACAAAATATGCGCGAAAGAAAGGAAAAAGAAGGAAAACACGCAGAGGGCCGGCGAAGACAGCTGTTTGTCGGCCCATAAACTTCCCACTTTATTATTATTCAAGAAAAAAAAAGCGCAAACGTTATAAAAATCGGTTCAGAAATGCGTTAGATTTACCATTATCATTTAAACAATGAGGGAACCTATCGGCTATGAAACTTTGCAGCATACCAAATTGCCAAAAACGTATATCTGACAAAATTTATCATCTTCAAACGGATTGTATTCCAAAAAACAAAGCATGCGAAAAGGTAATTAAAGGACCACGGGAGAAATTAACGGCAGAATCACTAAGCCTGCTAACTGGACAATGCAGACTGCGGAGTAGTGACGTGATACCAATCGATATGTATCGATACGAATCGATACCGAGTGCTTTTGGTACTGTATCGAGTAGTCTTTGTGTTATCTGTAAAAATATTCAAATAGATTTTTCATCGAGTGTTCAAGTAATATTGAATTATTTTTCGTTCGAAACTTGCCTTTCATCAAACTGGGAGTTGACTAGTTAGTGTTTGGAGCGCCTCCGACCGGCTTGGGTCAACAAAGTTAATCGAGATTTCGAATTAGTGGTTGGTAACTCTGCTGATAATTCCGGTAACTCAAATTTTTTCCCGCGTCGCACCTCGCACTTTTAATTTCAGTAATTTTTATAAAATGTTTTTGTCTTCAAGTTCCTAAAAAAGTGTTCGCCTTCTCATAGGTAGATACCTAATCATGTCTCCTCCCAAAAGTAAAGCCGGAACACACTTACCCGACGCTACCCGATGCTACCCGACGCAAATCCAAACTCCGATTTTCCATAAGGTTGCATTACCCCCGTGCACATCTACCCGATGCTATGCCACGCTAACCTACCCGACGCTCTGCGATCCCCACTGTCCAGATTTTCGTCGGGTCGCATCGAGTACAGTCGAAGACAAAAGAACCGGACACTCATATTTTTATTCAAACTACATGTATTATTGTCGTTATATTAATTACAACATACTTATTTTAATATAAACCAAATTAACTGTGATTAAAAATTAATTAGTTTTTATTTAAAAAATTAATTTTAATGGTTTGGTAGAAAATTAATCAAAACACCGGAATACGATTTTTTGATATAATGAATTTAACTAACAATTTATTGTACTCGCTTCGGCGGTACATATACTAAAATTGGAACAATTTATTACACGGTTTTGCTCATAAAATTTAATTAACAATTTATTTCATAGTTTTGCTCGTAAAATTACACCATTTTGTAATGTCGGGTAGCATCAGAACAGGACACTCATATTTTTTGTAGTTTATTTCAAACTATATATATGTAATTTTGTTGTTATATTAATTACAACATTCTTATTTTAATGTAAACCAAATTAAACAAGATCAAAAATCCATAAGTTTTTATAAAAATTAATTAATTATGGTGGTTAGGAAGAAAATTTATCAAAACACCGGTATAACTTTATTTAAAACAATTAAGTTTAACAAGCAATTTATTATATGGCTGTGCTCATGAAATTTAACTAACAATTTATTACATGGCTGTACAAGTTTTTGCTCGAAATAGTGCATTAAGAACAAAAGATGATTATTGTGATAAACGCTGTGGACTGTACGCGACGTGTGCTTGCGTCGGATAGATGTGCACACCCCACCAAAACGTGGCAAGGCGTCGGGTAGCGTCGCGTGGCGTAGCATAGGTAACTGTGTTCCTGGCATTAATTGAGCTTTACTTCGCCATGGAACGCTTAAGAAGATGTAATCAATGATTTATTTCAAACTAAGTACATGTAATTTTGACGTTATATTAATGACGTTATTTTAATACAAACCAAATTAAACGATATCAAAAATGCATACGTTTTTATAAACATTGTTTAATTATGATGGTTAGGAGTAACTTTATTTTTAACAATTAAGTTTAACAAACAATTTATTAGATGGTTGTGCTAATAAAATTTAACTAACAATTTATTACAAGGTTTGGCTCAAAATAGTGCATTAAGAACAAAAGATGCGTTGCGATTGTGATAGCGATTATTGTGATAAACTGTACGCGACGTGTGCTTGCGTCGGATAGATGTGCACAACCCACCAAAACGTGGCACGGCGTCGGGTAAGTGTGTTCCCGGCTTTAGGCATTGACATTTCTCATCACTGTAATTCAGCGGCCCTGCATTCGAACCCGACATACTTACAAATGTTTTTTTTGTTTTTTTCAAAAACACCGGCACCCCGAGGGTTGGTATAACCACCTCTGCTGTTGCGAACCCTCGTAAAAAAAAAATATATATATAGTTGAGAGAGAGAACATGTATTTATTAATATGTACATTATATGCAATGGTTTAATGGAGTTTCTGCCTAGCGACACTTATTTCCAGTAGGTTAAGGTAAAACGAAATTTTTAGTATTTACATTATTTTCCATTGAGGAAAAAATATTAGATTAAAAACCCCAGCTATCATGGCCAAGTTAGAGGAGAGCTTTGTTTAAGCGGGGAACACACTTACCCGATGCAACGCTATGTAACGCTACCCGACGCAAAGCCAAAGTCCAATTTTCCATAAGGTTGGATCACCACCGTGCACATCTGCCCGATGCTATGCAACGGTACCCTACTCTACGCTCTGCGATCCCCACCGTCCAGAGATTCGTCAGGTAGCATCGAGTACAGTCGAAGATAAAAGAAACGGACACTCATAATTTTATTAAAACTACATGTATTATTGTCGTTATATTAATTACAACATACTTATTTTATTATAAACCAAATTATCCGAGATCAACAATTCATTAATTTTTATTATAAAAAATTAATTTCCAATGTTTTGGTAGTAAATTGATCAACCGGAATACCATTTTTTGATATAATGAATTTAACTAACAATTTATTTCATGGTTTTGCTCATAAAATTACACCGTTTTCGCGAGTAGCGTCTGAACAGGAAACTCATATTTTTTGTAGTTTATTTCAAACTATGTATAGGTAATTTTGTCGTTATATTAATTACATCTTTCTTATTTTAATCTAAACCAAATTAAACGACATAAAAATTCAGAAGTTTTTATCAAAATTATTTATTATTATTTGAAACTATATGTATTATTGTCGTTATATTAATTACTACATACTTATTTTAATATAAGCCAATTAACCGAGATCAAAAATTCGTGAGTTTTTATAAAAATTATTTAATTATGATTAGAAACGTTATCAAAACACCGGAATAACTTTATTTAAAACAATTACGTGTAACAAACAATTTATTACATGGTTGTGCTCATAAAATTTAACTAACAATTTACTACATGGTTTTTTTTTATTTATTTTTTTTTTATTTATTTTTTTGGCCTTATGATCTTGCATATTAGCCATAGTACGAATTCTTGTGTGTTCAAATTGGGGGTTATCGGGAAAAAAGGGCCAGAGATGACGGTGGGAATCGAACCCACGACCGCGGCGTGAGAGTCTCTCATGCTAACCACTCTGCTACCGCGGTCCCCCTATTACATGGTTCTGCTCAAAATAATGCATTAAGAACATAAGCCTTGTTGCTATTGCGATACTGATTTGTGAGACACGCTGTGTGACTGTACGTGGTGTGCGCTTGACTCGGATAGATGTGCACACCCTACCAAAACGTGACAAGGGGTCGGGTAGCATCGGGTAGCGTCGAAAAGCGTTGAACCGGGTAAGAGAATTCCCGGTTTTATTCTGTCCATGTACATGTCGTCCAACCAATAGTTATGTTTTTTGGGGTGTGATAAAAATAAGCTTCAGTTTCAGCTGCCTTATTGCTAGCAATGGATACAATAAGGAAATTGTAGGTAACATTGCCAAGAAAATGAAGAAGAAATTGATTCCAAAATATTAC